TGTACCCAGCAGGGTGCTCTGGGCTGCAGGGAGTGGGACGGGGACCCAGCAGGGGGTACTGGGCTGCAGGGAGTGGGACGGGGACCCAGCAGGGGGCTCTGGGCTGCAGGGAGTGGGACGGGGACCCAGCAGGGGGTACTGGGCTGCAGGGAGTGGGACGGGGACCCAGCAGGGGGCTCTGGGCTGCAGGGAGTGGGACGGGGACCCAGCAGGGGGTGCTGGGCTGCAGGGAGTGGGACGGGGACCCAGCAGGGGGCTCTGGGCTGCAGGGAGTGGGACGGGGACCCAGCAGGGGGTGCTGGGCTGCAGGGAGTGGGACGGGGACCCAGCAGGGGACTCTGGGCTGCAGGGAGTGGGACGGGGACCCAGCAGGGGGTGCTGGGCTGCAGGGAGTGAGGCGGAGACACAGCAGGGGGCTGTGGGCTGCAGGGAGTGGGACAGGGACCCAGCAGGGGGCGCTGGGCTGCAGGGAGTGAGGCGGAGACACAGCAGGGGGCTCTGGGCTGCAGAGAGAGGGGTGGAGATCCAGCAGGGGGCACTTGGCTGCATGGATTGGGGTGGAGACCCAGCAGGGGACGCTGGGCTGCAGGGAGTGGGACGGGCACCCAGCAGGGGGTGCTGGACTGTGGTTGCCACTCCCCACCCACAAAAGAGTTGCCTTTCAGTCTGGCAGATGCCTCGGCAGTATGACTGGGTGGCAATTACCTGGCTGCGCCTCCCCAGAGACAGCTGCATTTCAGCAGGTGGGACAGAGGGATTTTAGGGGAAGCTACGGAGCTGGTAGGCATCTCAGAGTTACTTCCAGCACTAGCCTTTTTCCCAGGGGAGACTTGGGCAGAGAAATATCAGGGCTCCTCCAACGTTCTGGGGAAACTGAGGAAGGGAGGAGAGGGAAATGTGCCTCTACTCCAGAATGAGGCAATTACCTTCCCTCATCATGTAGAGGTGGAAGAGGAGGAAGAGGAGGCCGTTCGTGGCGAAGAAGAGTCCACACAAAGCCAGCTGCCCGACCCAGAAATTGCTGCGCTCTGTAAAAAGACAAAATCGATACAAAATAGCAGCCTGGTATCTCTGCTGCCCCCTGCTGGAGGGGAGTAGCCCTGCTCTGTGTGTATGTGTGTGTGTGTGTTCGGTCACCTGTCATGGTCACATTGACAGCCAAGCTCTTGAAGGACAGAAGCCACCTCCCGTTCATGTTCTCTTCGTACGCGCAGGCGAATTCCCCGGTGCTGTCGGGACCAGCCTGTGGGATGCGGAAATTCCGAGATCTGGCCCTCATCTCTGCTGCGTTGCCCTCCAGCCCCATGTCCTCAAGGGAGAAATTGCCTCCGTCCTTATAGAAGTGAAACCGCCGTTCTCCAAGATTGTCCGGGGCCGTGCAGGTGATAATCAGCGGGAGCCCGTCTCTCACCACTCCAAATGGAGGATCCACAGTCAGCACCGGCCAGGGAGGGTAATCTGAGCATGAATCAGGAGGGGGAGGAGATGGGGAGAAAGCAGAGAGGTGCCCCAAACTCAACACGGATAAAGTTTCAGCTTATACCTCAGGCCTTCCTACATGAGGACTTTTGTGTAGCTGCAAGTGAGACTCTAAGCTTGCTACTAGGCAAGTGTTGCTAGACATTAATTTCCACATTGGGCAACCTGTTTCTAGGAGTGGAGACACCCAGTTCTTCTCAGGGACGGGATGGGACCAGGGTCCAGATTCTGCTTCACCATGTTGTTGTCAGACTAGTTGGGATATGGGGTACCAAGTTTTGAGCAACTGAGTACCATGTTGTTGGCCTTTGGGTAGGCACATTGAGTGCCCTGTTTTTGGCTATGGTGTAGGCACATTGAGTACCATGTTGTTGGCCTTTGGGTAGGCACATTGAGTGCCGTGTTTTTGGCTATGGTGTAGGCACATTGAGTACCATGTTGTTGGCCTTTGGGTAGGCACATTGAGTGCCGTGTTTTTGGCTATGGTGTAGGCACATTGAGTACCATGTTGTTGGCCTTTGGGTAGGCACATTGAGTGCCGTGTTTTTGGCTATGGTGTAGGCACATTGAGTACCATGTTGTTGGCCTTTGGGTAGGCACATTGAGTGCCGTGTTTTTGGCTATGGTGTAGGCACATTGAGTACCATGTTGTTGGCCTTTGGGTAGGCACATTGAGTGCCGTGTTTTTGGCTATGGTGTAGGCACATTGAGTACCATGTTGTTGGCCTTTGGGTAGGCACATTGAGTGCCATGTTTTTGGCTATGGTGTAGGCACATTGAGTACCATGTTGTTGGCCTTTGGGTAGGCACATTGAGTGCCATGTTTTTGGCTATGGTGTAGGCACATTGAGTACCATGTTGTTGGCCTTTGGGTAGGCACATTGAGTGCCATGTTTTTGGCTATGGTGTAGGCACATTGAGTACCTAATTTGCCATTAGGTAAGGCTACCATGTCGTAGGGTAAAGTGGAGGGATAGCTCAGTGTCTTGAGCATTGGCTTGCTAAACCCAGGGCTCTGAGCTCAATCCTTGAGGCCATTTAGGGATCTCGGGCAAATCTGTCGGGGATAGTACTTAGTCCTGCTGTGAGAGTTGGGCGACTGGACTCAATGACCTCTCAAGGTCCCTTCCTGCTCTGTGAGATTGCATATCTCCATATATTATACTAAGGATCATGTTGTTGGCCATTGTCTAAGCATGAGTACTGTGTTGTTGACCATGCTGTAGGCATGATGAATGCCATGCAGTTGTGTAAGCATATTGTTGGCCATAGTGTGGGCATACTGAGTGTCATGTTGTTGGCCAATGATTATACATGTTCAGTGTCATGTTGTTGGCCAACTAGTAGGTACATTGAGTGCCATGATGTTGGCCATTGTGTGGGCATGTTGAATGTCATATTGTTCGCCAACAAATAGGCAAGTTGAGTGCCATGATGTTGGCCAATGAGTAGGCACATTCAGTGTCATGTTGTTGGTCATTGGGTAGGCACATGGAGTGTTATAAGCAGACAAATTGAGCGACATGTTGGCGGCCGGCGGCCACTAGGTAGACACGTTGAACGTTGAATGTCATATTATTGGCCATTGTGTAGGCATGGTGGGTCACAAGAGCTGGCTGTTGGGTGACCTCGCTGGTGGGTGTGTTCATAATGGAGTAGCCATGATCCTGGCAGTTGGTCTACTATATTGGGTGGCTGTATTGACCGAGAAATCAGCCGTGTGGGGCAGCCATCGTTAGGATCTAAATGGCATTTGGGGGACTGTGTTGCTGGCTCCTTCCTTCTCATATTTTTGTCCGCCTATGTGTTTACGTGCCTTGCAAGGGTTCACCGAGCTCACCTCTCGCTCTGATGGGGATCTTATTGCTCCAGTTGGACTTGATCACAGAATCAGCTTCAATCACCCAGTATCTGCAATAGTACAACCCCCCATCCTGAGATCCCATGAGGCTCATGTTGTAGATCTCGATTCTCGTGGAAGACGTGGTGACTGAGATAGACTTCCCAATATCGTTGTTGAATTGGAAGCCTTGGATTCCAGCCACCGAAGGGGGAGCGGTGCATGTCATCTCCACAGTGTCTCCGGGGAGGTACTCAGGCTTCTGGGGCTGCAGAGACAGGGATGGGGCCACAGGGACACCTGGGGAAGGAAAACGTCCATGGGCACCAGCTGGGAAGGAAGGCAGAAGTGGCAGCCAGGAGAGGAGCCCCTGGCTGCCCCAGATTTGGCTACCGACAGGCCCAATTGGAGACTTAAGACCCACCCCCCTGGAGCAGAGGGGTACAGAATGGTGGGGCAAGGTCCATAGAAGGTGGGAATGGAGATGGGGAAGGAGCCAGATGTTCTGCGTCAAAATGCTCCTAAACACAAGGCCTCGGGGGAAGATGCCCCCCAAAGCACACCCTATCCCTCACCTCCCACTAGGGGTCAGCAATGCGCCCATGCAGCCTCCAGACTCCCTGGGCAAAGAATCCACCAATTTGATTCAACCATGGGATCGGAGGGTGTGACGGACCGGGCCGGGACTGGGCACAGCTGAGGGCGTCTGCTCAGGGCGAATTGCTCAATCTTGGGGCTCCTTACAGCCCCCAGACTGGAAACCTTCCCAAATAGGCCACAAACCAGTCACACAGAGCGCTTCAGCTGCCAGCATGGCCAGCCAGAAGCCTCACAAGCAAAACCCTTTGACACCCCAGCTCTCTCCGGGCCCCAAACAGCCCCAGGTCTAACACTCAAGTGAGGGGTTTTAGAACCCAATCTCACCTACTCTGAACAAGTTCTGTCCAGTCCTAAGAAACCAGCCACAGATCCAGATCAATTTACACTCTGGACCTTACCCGCAAACCACACTGAGCCAATCCTTTAGCATCTACAATCTAAAAGTTTATTAATAAAAGAAAGAAAATCACAACAGTGAGGTTGTTAAAGGATCCTACATTACATGCATCGAATCTCCCAGTTCTCGATGCAGGCTCTAGCAGAGATGCTATGATTGCTGGCTTGGTGCACATCCTATGTCAGGATGGGTCCACAGGTCTTTCCGGCTCATTGATCCCTGCAAACTGCTTCTGGGATGAAGAGATGAGCTGAGGACCAAGATGGAGTCGGCCACATGGCATATTTATACATCCTTCCTGGTCTTTTCTAAGCTGGTGACAGTCACATGGTCAGTGGCCGGGCACCTAGATTCCTTCTCAGGTGGGTCTCTGGTACTTAAGAGACCAATTGTCCCTGGAACCTTGCTAAGTAGCATGCCCATAGGGTGAACCTTCCCTGCCTATTGCTCAACCACAGACAGAGAAACGTCCAGTCTTAACACAGAGTACATATTCCTACCTCCACACACAGACATTATACAGATATATGAAGAGCAGATACACAATCAGTAGAAAGTAAGTGTTTGTTTGACACCTCACATGGCCCCCTTTGCACCAACTTACTCCCCCCCTTGGGTACAGCAGTAATCTGGCTGCTCCCCTCAAAATCCAGTAACGTGACAGAGGGTGACTCTGAGCTGGTGCTGGAATGGCCACTGGGCTGGATGAAGAGAGACTGATCTTCGCATGGGGGAGATGGATGGGTTTCCCCCCACAGATCCACCCTCAAGATCCCAAGCCCCAGAGCATAAGCCCTGAGAAATCCTCCTCCAGAGACAACCCCACCCCAAAATGAGTTACTCTAGCTGGCTCAGGAGTCCACATTACCTGCAAGGAGCACCAGCCGGGGCAGAAGCTGAAAAGTGGCTGAAAGAGAGAAGAGAGGATGAGTGATGGTTCTGGGGCGGGAGGAAGGGGAGGACAAGCATGCTGGGAGTTTGGGATGTTAGGAAAAAGGTGGGGAGGGAGGGAAGAGGAAGAGTGGACCATGGGATAGCGCAGCTCAGATGTGAAAGAAAGAAAGAAAGAAAGAAAGAAAGAAAGAAAGAAAGAAAGAAAGAAAGAAAGAGAAAGCAAAACAGTAGAACGATCTGGAAAGAAAAAAAAAGGAAAAGGAGAAAAACAAGTTCAACAAGGACAAGTGCAGAGTCCTGCCCTTGGGACGGAAGAATCCCAGGCATTGGTACAGGCTGGGGACCGACGGGCTAAGCAGCCGTTCTGCAGAAAAGGCCCTGGGGGCTACAGTGGACGAGAAGCTGGATATGAGCCAACAGGGCGCCCTTGTAGACAAGAATCCTAATGGCATATTAGGGTGCATTAGGAGGAGCATGGCCAGCAGATCTAGGGAAGTGATTATTCCCCTTTATTCGACTCTAGTGAGGCCACATGTGGAATATTGTGTCCAGTTGTGGGCCCCCCACTACAGAAAGGATGTAGGCACATTGGAGAGGGGCCAGCGGACGGCAACCAAAATGATTTGGGGGCTGGAGCACATGCCCTATGAGGAGAGGCTGAGGGATTTGGGTTTGTTCCATCTGCAGAAGAGAAGAGTGAGGGGGGATTTGAGAGCAGCCTTCAACTTCCTGCAGGGGGTTCCCAAGAGGCTGGCGAGAGGCTGTTCTCAGTGGGGCGGATGCCAGAACAAGGAGCGATGGGCTCAAATCGCAGTGCGGGAGGTTAGGGTGGAGATTGGGAAAAACAATTTCCCTAGGCGGGTGGGGAAGCCCTGGGCTGGGTTCCCGAGGGAGGGGGTGGAATCTCCATCCCTCAAGGTGTTAAAGTCCTGGCTTGACCAAGCCCTGGCTGGGATGGTTGAGTTGGGTTGGTCCTGCTTTGGGCAGGGGGCTGCACTCGGTGCCTCCCAAGGTCTTAGCCCATGCTGGGGTTCTGGGATCCTCAGAAAACCAAGGGCGCAGCATGGAGAAGCAGAAGCACTAACTAGTAGGAGACGCCCTTGAAAGGAAGTGCAAAGCAAGGCAGAGACTGAAACCAGAGAGACGCTAAGCAGAGAAAAGCCGGGGGGAGGAGGAGAAAGCCAGCAAGCCAGCAGGAAAGATATGAGACCGCTCAAGAGAGAGGAGCGGAAGAACCAGACCGCGATAAGAGAGGCAAGCAAGCAAGAAACACACTAGAAAGAGAGAGCCAATGGCGGGGGGAGTGAGAAAGGCTGAAGGAAGGAGGGGAGCCGGCCGGCCAGGAGGGCCGGAGGAGAGGTAGAAGCGAGCAAGGAAGGACACAGGTGGAGGGGGGCGCTTACCCAGCAGAAGTAGAGTCCGCGCCATGCCGAGCCGGTCACTCTGAACTGGGAGCTGGGTGGTGTGGACATACCTCTCAGCCTCCACACCAGGCGCGAGGCGTCGCGTCATCCCATCTGGGCACTTGTGAAATCTAACCACACACTGGCCACCCGCTCAGGATGTTTCTCTGCCCCCCTCTCTTCCGGCGCCTTGCAAATGCAGCTCAGCTCAGCAGGACGTCATCCACTGCAAAGGCCTCCTCTGCTGCGTGGGGAAACTGAGTCACAGCCCCGGCCAAGCTGGCAGCCTGAGGGCAGATGGGAGGGGAAAACATCTGCGGGGTGGTTATGCTCGGGTATTGGCACTGAAGCGAGGTCGTGGAAGGCCTGTGCCTGGAGGTCCCAAGGCCCATCTTAGAGAGACACCTGCTGGGGTGTTGGAGGGAGGGAGGGTGCAGGAGTGGGGGGCAGGGGTAGGTCTACAAGGCCCCATCTCAGGCAGGGGCTGGATTTCATGGCTCTTGAGGTCATTCCAGCCCCCACTAGTTCTGTGTAGGGTGAAAGGGAGGTAAAAGGACTATGGGACGGAGGTGGGGAACCTTGGTTCGGGGCTTGCCTTGATGGGGACTGTGAGATGCAGGACTCACCCCCCCCCCCCCCCCCCCCACGGGCCAGGGGGCGCCCGCCCA